GAATAACTATTTTTATCCCTCCGAACTATCGAAAGGCAGTGAATATAGGTAGGGAGGCCTCCCTCCAAAACGGGGTGTGATGAGGGAAAACGGAGGTCATATTTGCATTCATGAGGTCATTTTTTACGTAAGAATCGGCAAGAATAGTGCCAGGGCTGATTTTCATGCAGACCAGTGTCATCATTTAATTATAATAATACTAATAATACAAATACGCTGCTAAAATGTCAAATTCACATATCCTAATTTATTCTTGACAAGTAAAAATAAATGAAATAATGCAAGAATAAAAATATATGGAAATCTATACTAATATATAAAATCATTAAGTGACTGACATACTGATTAATCACGATCCTGCTCAAACCACTCAACGTAAGAAGCTCAATTTTGGCCTACAGGTTGATTCTAGGGTGTAGAGGTTCGATAAGAAGGGATTTTTCGAAATTCCAGTTCCAAGAGGGTGAAACCACCCCTCAAATATTACAATATTTTTTATTTAAAAAACTGTCAAGTTTTCGAAAAAACGCTTAAACACGTATATTTTATTTTGTTTCTTTACAAATTTTAAGATTTTTTATAAATGTATATAGGGTGTTTCGAAAAATCTGGTCATTGATTCATGACGATCCTGCTTAAAGCGCTTGACGCAAAAAGCTGATTTTTGGAAAACAGATTGACTAGGGTGTAGAGGTTCGATAAGAAGGGATTTTTCGAAACTCGAGTTCTAAGGGGGTGAAACTATCCCTCAAATATTAAAATATTTTTTATTTAAAAACCGGTGAGTTTTTCCGAAAAACTCTTAAAAACGTATATTTTATTTTGTTTTTTTTTACATATTTTAAGATTTTTTTATAAATTTATACAGGGTGTTTTATAAAAAATGACCATTGAATAATCACGATTCTGCTTAAACTACTTGACGTTTAAAGCTTATTTTTGGCAAACGGATTTTTCAAAAGTCAAATTCCAACGAGATGAAACTACCCCTCAAGTATTACCAAGTTATATAATAATATCGCCATATTGTTTTTTCTCACGCTGACATAAATGTGAGAAAATTTTATCCAGTTTGTATGTTAATGGAAATTCTTCCTTCGCTTTATCATCACCATTACAAATGATTAATGGTACACGCTAGTAATTTTATAATTGATTGGTCTACTACTCACTAACATAATATTATATCTTACTTACTAATGAATAGTTACTTCATTATGTTTCATGTTTTTGTCCGGGAATGATCGCACACTACACAAGTAACAATTCTTGAATCTTTTTAAGGTTCACAATAATCTTACTCTGTTTTAAGTCCCGATACAATATCTTTCTCAATTTGTACCTACACTTTGCTTAAAATCAATTGTAGGATACACAGGAAATATAAAATATACTTAGAAAAGCCTAACAAATACGCAATAATTTAAATCAACTTCAAATGTGTAAACTGAAACTGTGTTACGATTCAGGAAAATTTTCGACAGACGACACCCAAAAAATTACAGAAAATACAATTTGACTGTGAATTAAAATGTCAGACCAAATGTCACTGTCGGGAGTCCTGTTGTTGGACAGCTTATAATGCATGATTATAAAAATAGAATTAGATATCTTCCTGTATTTTTATTCAAAATGAGAAATGTATACACATACTCTTGCCAAATGAAATTAACCAATTAAGGCAATATTAAATAAATTCATTAAAACATATTTTTATTATGATTAGAATAATAAGTAATAAAATATATTATAACACATCCGTTAGGCCTTATTACTGCACTTCTTTATATTCCGGGCTTGTAACCTTGTAACCTAAATGAAGAGACCAAGACCAAGACCAAAATTAGCTTGGTCTTGGTCTTGCAGTGTAACGAATACGAGCGAAGAAAAAAAAACGAAAAAACGTAGGTAAAATATACATCAAACAACATAAACCAACATAACCAAAGTTGAGAAAAAAGCCATACATTTTCAATTAAAAATGCAAATGGCCTATAAAAAAACATAATGAATAAAATATATTAAGAAATATACGTACGTATAAGTACGAGCATTGGTATCTCGGTAACCGTAATAGATACGAACATGGTTAAATTGGTGCAAAGTTGCGTTTTAGGATGTTCACCAAGATGCCATCAAAAAAGTTCTAAAAATTTCAAGGATTGCTGAGTTTTTTGGAAAAAACGGATTTTTTTGAAAATCAGTTTTATTTTTTCCCGTCGTTACTTTTTAGAAAATCAAAAAACTAATTGCACATTCTCATAGCCACTTTATTAGGACTATGTGATAGTCTATTTAGATTTTCAAAATAACTGGTAATTTGTAAGATACAGAGGAGACTTAATTTTTTTAAATACGGACCTGCATTTTTTATTTTATGTTTTTAGAACTCGGTCTCCTGAGTACAATGATATGCCACACTTAATATTTTTTTTGTTTCGGACATTTGAACACAATTTATTTAAACTAATTTCAAGTCCGACTCTGTTTTTTTAAATATTTAATCTATTCATCGTTGCAATATTAATAAGCTTTCAAACTTTGACACGCATCAAAAGATGGTTACGCAAGGCGTTTCCTGTCATGAGCTTTTCTGTGACTGAAAAGCCCGATACGTGATGTTATCTCTCTTCCGCACTCCGGACATTCAAAAATCTCATGGTTGTCGGTATTAACTGAATTTACAATTCTCCTCCATTGCGTTCTATTGTGCGCTGCTTCCTCCCACTGATGCTGCATACTTATCCCCTTTAAGTTTTCATGAACAACATCCTTGTATCTTTTGAGTTGTCCACCCGGTTTCCTCTTACCCTCTACAAGTTCACCGTAAAGAAGAGATTTCGGTAGGCGGGTTTCTTGCATCCTGCATACGTGGCCAGCCCATCTTAAGCGAGATTTAGTAATCATGACTTCAGCGCTCTCGCAGCTTGCTTTTTTAAGGACTGATACATTTGAGACATGGTGGTACCATTTGATTCTTAAAAGTTGTCTAAGATGTCTCTGTTGCAATTTGTTTAATGCGCTCGTGTGCCGGCAGTACGGCACCCAGGTTTCGCTTCCATATAACATGGTGGGGATTATTACTGCTCGATACACTGCAAGTTTCGTTTTTGTGCTCAAGTCATGATTGTAGAAAACCCTGTCTTTTAATTTCCAGAATGCTCTTGAGGCGCTGCTGATTCTGTGCTGAATTTCAGAGTCGATATTTGCCTTTTCCGAAATGAAACTGCCGAGGTAATTAAATTCCGATACATATTCCAATAGTTCTTCTCCGATTTTTATAGCGCTGTTATGATTTTCCGGGGGAGTGCACATAATTTTAGTTTTATCGATGTTCAGTTAAGGCCCAAAGTCTCGTATGCCCAGGTATATGTGTTCAACATTTCCTGTAATTGCTGTAACGTATTTGCAACTAGAGCGCAGTCATCATCATCAGCAACTCAGTCATCAGCAACTAGAGCGCAGTCATCATCAAACTTAACAATGACGTGGGGTTAAACATTGAATACGGAAAATCAAATGCAATAAAATAGTAAAAAATAATATAAATATAATATAATTTAAACAATCAAATCGTTTCCCCGGAAGATGGATTGGAAATTGTAGAGCAGTATAATGGGCAGCGAGATTCCTGGACAGGCTGAGGGTATTACTTGACGTCATTTGTAAAAGTGAAATCATTACATTTCAACATTTACAATAAAGAGTACAAAATTCATTCGGAAGTATAAGAACATGTGTTCATAGAGCTATAAATGAGATTGAACGAAAAATAAATTTGTGCATTAGGGCGGGTGGTAACCCTTTCGAACATGTAGAGCATTAGAAACTAGTGTGTAGAAGTTGATTTATTCATAATAACTACAACTAATATTATGTATATTATTAGATCGCATAGTGAGAATTTTAAATTCACAATAAAAAATGTTAAAAATAATATCTTTAAATTGCTGACCTGGATATTATTTATTTGAATCTTTCAATTGGCTCGATTTTCCCTATTCAATGTTAATTAGCACTGATCAATATTGTTGCGATGAATATAATCAGATTAAATAATTAAAAATATCCAGAGTCGGACTTGAAATTATTTTAAATAATAATTAAATAGTTTTGTTATTGTTAAGGTACCCAAAACAAACAAAAAATATAAAGTGTGGCATATCATTGTACTCAAAAGATCGAGTTCTTTCAAATTCTGAAATAAAAATGCAGGTCCGTATTTAAAAAAATTAAGTTCGTCTCTGTGTCTCACAAATTATCAGCTATTTTGAAAATCTAAAAATACTATCAGATTGCCCTAACAAAATGGCTATGAAAATGTGCAATTAGTTTTTTGATTTTCTAAAAAGTAACGACAGGAAAAAATAAAATTGATTTTCAATAAAATACGTTTTTTCCAAAAAACTCAGCAATCCTTGAAATATTTAAAACTTTTTTAATTGCATCTTGTTGAACATCCCAAGAAGCAACTTTGCCCCAATTTAACCATCTTCTATTACGGTTTTCGAGATACCAATGCTCGTACCTCGACTTTGTAAAACCCTGTATAATAATAATATATAAATAATATATTTGAACTTTAATAATTGCTAATAAACATTATACAAACATCAAAGGAACTTCAGAAATAAGAACAATAATATAACATCACTACTTATTTAGAAGAGTTTGAATTCGACCGCTGGAAAGTATCAATGGCTATTTGCATGTTACAAAAAATATTTTTTTATTATTCTTATGGATTCCCAAAAGTACCGAAAGAACCGGAAATTAATAATTCTCGGTTCTTTGATGTCCCAACAGATGCGGGTATTTTTGGTTCTGAACCCTACTATTTACCAGCCGCACATTGCTAATATAAGAAACGTTATGTCGGGGGATATAAAATAAAATACAATTTCTCTAACACACCACGATCGCATCGCTTAACTAGATAGTAATTCTGACCTATTTGTGCCAGACAGAAATATGTAAATACTGTTTTTATATGTTTTTAGATGAGGAAGCCAGTCTGGCAGCGGAAGCCGAAAAGAAACGACCGGACGAAAGGACGGAAAGAGAAAGAATTGCGTTAATGGGCAAGCCAAGGTTAGGAGAGATAACTAGAGCACAAATTAGGATAAAGGAGAGCAAGGAATTTAAGGTAATGTCCGACTTCTTTTCAGAAAATTAGACAACACGTGCTGGCGTCTACAGAAAAAGAGTTGCGCAGTGTGGAGCATTTATGGGTTGATTATAGCGGATAATAGAATGATTTCTTTGGAAAAAAATATTTGATAATAAATATTAGTTCAAAATCTTACTTAAATACTCTTTTAGAGCAGATCGAACAAAAAAATCATAATTTGTTTTTCATGATAATGCCAGACAGAGGAAAAACGACATGAGAAATAAATGGATTTAATAAGCGTATTAAAAATATAATTTAAATTACGTGATCATAATAAATAATTTTGATTATAAAACACATTTAAGGTATTATAAAATAGTTTTATTCCAAACAAAAAAAAGTTTGCTATACAGGATGGCGCATCATATGACGCGGAAGTAGAATCGTAGTTTATATCAAAATGAAATTTTGGTAGCTTATGTAGGTTAGTTTAAAGCATTTTTTGAAACGTATCAAAGTTGTTTTTTTTTGTAATGGGGTTGTAAAAAGAACAATGTTCGACTGCAAGATATCACAACACTATTTTTTTAAACCAAACACTCGTAATACAAAACTAAAGTGTCAAAACGAATGACAATGTTAGGAAATAAATAAATAAATGCGGCAACCTGACATTTTTACTGCAGAGCTACCACCTGAATTCCCAGCGCGAAATTTAAATTCCAGTTAGTCAGCCCGGCGCCGAATATCACCATGGTTGGCAACAATGACTTTAAAAATCGCGCCCTCGATTACGTAACTAAAAGTTTAATTGATATGAAATATAAGTAAGATTAAATACTATTTGTATTATTTTTAGTGAAAATAGAAACTCAAAAAATTTTAATTACATGAACTAGATTTCCACATTTTAACTAATTTTTTTTCATCGGATTAAATTTGCTTTCTATTCCATGGAATGTTTAATTTGGAAAATAATGTTGATTTTCAATATTTTTATAAAGGATATACTCACTGAAATGGCTTTGAACAGAAATATTTTTTAAAATCCATTTGTTCGTATTATCCAATTTTAAATGGAGTATAAATTTCACTTTTTAATTTAACTCTAAAAAAGTGTTATATTTAGAATGTTATTTTTTTAATTAAAAATAGATTCTTTGTTTATTTTTTCAAATAAATGTTGTTTGAAATGAAGAAGTGATATATTTTGTACACAAATGTGTATCGGGTGTCCAAAGATGATATAATATTCAAATTATTTTTTTAATAATAAAATTGTATCTACATATAAAGTTGATTCCAAAAGGCATCTTTCAAGACATTTACGACATTATTGCTTTTTCCCAATGAAAGTTCCTGAATTAAAAAAAAAATCTGTATAATAACAGTAATTATTCAATCATTATATTATCATTTTATATAGGCTCTACTCAACCTTTATACTATTTCATTTTGTTGAATCAGTATAAATAGCTTGTTTGGTATGACAAATAATATATCAGGCCCATTGTGTTTTGTCCTCTAGAAGGTACATTGTGAAACAGCAGAGAAATGTATGGAGTGAGGTGTGTCCTTATTATTCTCATTTTATTGAATGACAAATTGTAGCTATTATTAATATACAGAGCGAGGGATTTTAAAAGTAGTTATCGCTTTGAGAAACGGGCACATGAAAATATTTTTTAAATTTTAATATATTTTGTTTTAGTGGGTCGGTTTTGATGATTTTTTAAGTAATATGTAGCTAAATTGTTTGACTTTTTAGGTTTTTAGGTCCTCTTTCTAAATTAAAAATGAAAGTTTCCATCTGTCAATTATACGAGGGAAAACAAAATGTTGATATTTTGGTGAAAGTTTGAAACACCCTGTAGAATATGTTAAGACAGCCAGGAATTTAAAAGTAATTTTATCATCTAGATACATCCTTTTTCGATAGTTTGTTTTTCAGTTCATCTCAATAGCTTTATTTTTATTGGAGATATTTGCTTTTGAAGAAGACACTAACATTTTTTCGTAATTTGTACATTAAAACCATGCATTTGCTTTTGGTCCTAGTCAACATACCTAGTAAGTTATGGCCCCGAAGTGGCACTCTTGACATAAAATTTGGTTCGTTTAATCCTCTTCTTACAGTCCGTTCAGTTACATGTACGTTCTTAAATGCATGGTGCAATTCATTATAAATTTGGAAAGGTTGTAAACGGCGATTTCTTAGCGACAAACCTCCAATAAATCGATTATTTCGATTCTAAGTTCTCATACGAAGGTTTCTGGACGTCCAGCACATGAATTGGTCTCGAGGAAGCGATTGCATTGTACTTCGTCCACACTTAAATCTGTTAGCGACATAATTTTGTCCATCTCCATCATCTATTAAAGCAACTATAGCGGATACAACTTCTGGACTTAAAACCATCTCTGCTAAAATAGATGCCCAACAGCCAACACACAATAGTAATATGATTTTTCAATAACAGTGACATTATACAGGGTGTCCCAGAAATAAGTGCAAATATTTTAACTGGTAGTATAGTTCAACACCAGAAACATGCCTATGATTTTTTTTCGCAAAAAAAAAATTTTTGAAAAATTTTTTGGAAATTTTTTTAATTTTAAGTTAAAAAACATAATTTCTTGATAATATGGCAACATAGGTATTAGATTAAATTTACAAGAAAGAAAATCCAGAAAACATCCAGTGGTTCTCAAAATTTTAGCAAAAGTGAAATAACTCCGTTATTTTGGACTTATTTGAAAAACGACAAAGAAATAATATGTTTCTTTTATCGAGATCTATCACCTCTTAAAATATTTGCACTTATTTCTGGGACACCCTGTATAGATCATAAACACTATTTTATATTCAAAAATATTAGTCTCTTCTTCAAAAGTGAATATCTCCAAAAAAATAAAGCTATTGAGATGAACCAAAAAGTAAAATATGGAGAAAAATTGCAGCTAGACGATAAAGTAATTTTTAAATTACTTGCTTTTTTGAGATGCTTTTACAGGGTGTTCGAAACTTTCGAAACCAAACCTAAATAACAACATTTCGTTTTGCCGCGTATAATTGACAGATGAGAACTTTATTTTTTATTTTAGAAAGAGATACTAAAAAATCAAATAATTTAGCTTACTTACTTACTTAGTTACTTACTGCCATTACTCGCTGACGAGTATTCGACACGCATCAAAAGATGGTCAGGCAAGGCGTTTTCTTTCATGAGCTTTTCTGTGACTGAAAAGCCCGATACGTGATGTTATCTCTCTTCCGCACTCCGGACTCTCATTATTTTGTTGCCTCTTTACTTTTTGGTTCTCGTTGTTAACTGAGTTTACAATAATTGTTCTCCATTGTGTTCTATTATGCGCTGCTTCCTCCCACTGATTCTGCATGCTTATCCCCATTAAGGTTTTATGGAAACTATCCTTGTATCTTTTGAGTTGTTCACCCGGTTTCCACTTATTCTCTACAAGCTCACCGCAATGAGGAGATTTCGGTAGGCGGTTTTTTTGCATCCTGCATACGTGGCCACCATCTTAAGCGGGATTTCATAATCATGACTTCAGCGCTCTCGCAGCTGGCTTTTTCAAGGACTGATATGTTTGAGACATGGTGGTACCATTTGATTCTGAACAGTTGTCGAAGGTGTCTCTGATGCAACTTGTTTAATGCGTTCGTGTGCAAGCGGTGCACCCAGGTTTCGCTTCCATATAACATGGTGGGGATTATTATTGCTCGGTACACTGCAAGTTTCATTTTTGTACTCAAGTCATGATTGTAGAAAACCCTTTCTTTTAATTTCCAAAGTGCTCTTGAGGCGCTGCTAATTCTGTGCTGAATTTCAGAGTCGATATTTGCCTTTTCCGAAATCAAACTGCCGAGGTAATTGAATTCCGCTACATATTCTAGTGGTTCTTCTCTGATTTTTATAGCACTGTTATGATTTTCCGGGGGAGTGCACATGATTTTAGTTTTATCGATGTTCAGCTTAAGGTCCAAAGTCTTGTATGCCCAGGTATATGTACACAGCGTTTCTTGTATAATTGCTGTAAAGTTTTTGGAACTAGAGCGCAATCATCAGCGTATTGAAGTTATGTGATGAATTTTATACGTATTTGTGTTTATAACTCTTTTTATGTTGAACAGACCGTTGTCATACCTGTAACTAACACCCATTTCTCTTTCCTGCAGTTTGCTGTCCACTATAATAGAGAACGCTGCTATGAATATGTTGAATAGGAGAGGAGTTAAGAAATATCCCTGCCTAACTCCTGTATTTGTCAGGAAGGGATCGCTCAGTGATCCATGATGTGACACTCTCGACTTGTTGTTGTTATGGATGCTGTTACACACTGTAAGAAATTTGTTGGGTACTCCGAACTTTTGCATAATTGCCCAAAGTGCAGCTCCGTTTACAGAGTCGAAGGCTTTTGTTAGGTCGATGAATGCAATATAAAGATTTCTCTGCTGCTCCTTTACTTTTCCTGTAGTTGGCGGACAGAGAATATAGAATCAATGGTACTGTTGTTGTATGCGAAAGCCCGTTTGCGATTATGGGGGGATTTTTCTATATGTGGTGCAGGCGGTTTGACATAATTTTTCAAGAATTTAATTTAGCTACAAATTGCTTAAAAAATTATTAAAATCAGTTCACTAGAACACAATATAAGTATTTAAAATACATCAAAATATTAAGATGCCTACATGAGTGTATTATAATAATAAGTAAGCTCTCGAATACATATCGGTGGATGGAAGAGGAAACCAAAACGAGGTCATTTTATTACTTGATCTTACCACTTAAAGAGTAGCTACTTCCACTTTTAAAAACACTTTTTAAAACTTATCTCGTGTAATATTGTGTAACATTGTCGCACAAATCTTTTATTTTATTTACAGTTTTATAGGAAAATAACAGTCTGCATGATTAAGAAGTAATTTATGAATTGTACGATTAGTTTTGGAGATATCGCTAATTCGGGCTTTTTCTTCATATATTATACCCTGTGATAAAAAAGCGGCTTCC